AGACCAACAGACAGAAAGCAATAAAGCACCCCCCCCAGCAGGGATGGCCACCCTGCAATCCCCTTTTCCATTCTCTTCCCAGGATCTTGGGCACACACTCACAAGTACGTACCCGGCATGAGCTTAAGCCACCGGGTCTGGGACTCGAACCGTAGTCGACTACATGAGAGTCCAGCAACACAGCCATTACGCCAACTGTTGGTTCCCCCCAGATTGAGAAAATATTATATGGTGGCCATCCCCCAAGGGGGTAATTTCTTGCTTTCTGTCTTTCCAGTGAGCTCAAGTACCCTATAGCAAAAAAAAAAATCTCTCTCAAATAATGATGATGATGATGATGATGATGATGATGATGATCTGGGATATACAGTACAGACGTGAAGACTTTTTTTTTTAATTAGTTTTTGCCATGGGGCACATACACAGAGAGACAATGAGAGGGGAAGTGAGAACTCATCCCCCAAGGGGGATAGCCATGCCATAATTCCTTCTTCTCCATTCTCTTCTAGGATTTTGGGCACACATACACACGCTCCTGGTGTGATTTTTCAAGCTAGCAGGTCTAGGACTTGAACTGTGATTGGCCATCTGAGAGTCCAACATCTTAACCACTATGCCATGTGCTGGCCCCGACATGAAGACAACTTAAAGATTTTGTTATAATTTCATGAAATTATACTTCATAATTTCAGCCAAATATCATGTCAATATTTACTTGCTCTGATGTCAATTTTATATGGAAATTTGAAAGTCTTAAACTTAACAGTATTTAACAATGAACCAAAATTTCGCTTATTTTGGAACTAGCATATGGCATAACAGTTACATTGCTGGATTCCCAAGTCGTCGACCACAGTTTGAGTCCTGGACCCAGTGGCTTAAAACTCACGACAGATGCGTGTATGTGTGCCTAAGATCCCAAGAGGAGAATGAAGAAGGGATTGCAGCATGGCTATTCCCCCAGGGGGTGATTTCTCACTTTCTGTCTCTCCAGCAAGCACATATGTCCTATAGCAAAAATCTCTCTTTTTGAGAAATAAAGAGTAAGAGGGTAGAATTGACTATTCACCGCTTCTGAGTGCTGTACAGGGAGGAGCAAAACATTAAACCATAGCTGGCCAAGAAATAAAACCAGAACTTTTTTTTTTGGTTAATTTTAATTTTATTTACTCCTTCATTTTATTTTACTTTAATCAGAGAGAGACACACAGAGAGAGGGAAAGTGAGAAAGGAAGCCACCAAGTCCGGGACTCGAACTGTGGTTTGCCATGTGGGAGTGTCCAGTGCCTTAACCACCACACCACCTGCTGGTCCCCAAAACCAGAACTTTTGTGATAGAACTGTGAGCTGCTAGGGACCAGCAGGTGCATAATGATTACATCATTGGATTCCTGTGGAGTTGACCGTAGTTCAAATCCTGGACCGGTGGTTTGAAATTCATGCTGTATGCATGTGCGTGTGTGCCCAAAATCCTGGGGAAATGGAGGAGAACGGACTGCATTGCAGCCATCCTTCCCGGGGGGGGGGGGGGCTATTTATCACTTTTTCTGTCTCTCTGACTCTCTGGTGAGCACATGCGGCCTATAGCACAAACCTCTCTTTTTTTAAAAAGCTTGCTTTTTAAAAAGGCTCTAAAAATTTAAAGGTTAAAAATTTCCCAAATCTGAAAGACAGTGAAGAGAGTATCTAGAGAGTACTAAGTCTAAAGGACGGAGAAAGTCAGACAAGGTATGCTGATTTGACAGGAAAAACACCACTAGCTAGAAACCCTGTCTTCCTATCACATTTTCTGCAAATATTTATTCATTTAGGTATAGTGACTACAGAAAGAAACCAAAGTAAAGAAAGGAAAACTGCTTCCCAAATCCATTCCCATTTCGGGATTAAAGTAATTAGCATCCCCGCCTACTCCTCTTCAAGGGATACACAAACATTCCCCAAAGCTAAGGAGCAGAGCTAGTATTTGTTGGGTGAAAACCTCCTGCCAACCATTGGGATGGGTGCTAATAAAACCCTGGAAGTTCTTGTTGACTGAAATCAATGGTAAGTTAATGAGTCATATTTTCTTTTTTCACCACATGTGGACTAAATTTTGACTGTATTACAGACATTGCAGAGAAAATACTGTAGAGACTAGATACTGTTGACGTTCCTCCAAAGAACATGGACTTACGTTCTTGTCTAAATCTTTACCAAAGTTAATTATGTTCCCACTCAAGTATGTCCTTTTACCTACACATTCTTCTTTCTTACCACAGGCCTGTAAGTACTTGGTGTTTAAGGTATTCTAACTGGCCTGAAACAATTACTATTTGAAGCTCACAGCTCTGGTTCTAGTCATAATCACAAACTACTCGTGTTATAAAAGATAATCCACTACCTTTCTGGACATAAGTGTCCTTAAGTGTAGAACAGCAAAATGGGAAAAAATCTAACTAGCTGTGACACTACAGTAAACCATCATGAATTACACATTTTATAATTTCTCAATACCAGTATTGATGAACATTTCCTTCTAATATTATGGATCACCATTTTCATTACATTTTCAAAATGGCTGTATTACATTAAAAGGATAATTACTGATAAAATATAAGAAAATTCATTTTTAAAAAAGATTGTGCATTACAATACAGCCCTTATCTTTTTTTTTTTAAGGTTTTTTTTTTTTTTCCCTTTTTCCTCTTTTTGCCACAGAGAGTGTGTGCTGGCCCAAGAGAGACACAGAGAGGGAAACCCCTTGGGGGATGACCATGCCACAATCCCTTCTTCTTCATTCTCCTCTCAGGATTTTGGGTATGCACACACAAGTGCCTACCATGATTTTCAAGCCACTGTCCATGGACTTGCACAGTTGGCCATGTGAGAGTCCCCCAGTTGGCCATGTGACAGTCCTCCAGTGGCCTTAACTACCCTGCCACCTGCTGGCTCCACAATGCAGCTTTTAAATGAAGTAGGTTATCCAAACACCTTGTCTTAAAATAAAATCAACACACTGCTTCATCAAGTAAATGTAATAGTTACATTCAGTTGGAAAGGGCACTAGCAAATATTAAAATCCACATCGTAGGAAGCTGTATAAACTGTATTTTGTCCCAGAATACCAAGTATTTGCTCGATCTGTTCACGTGCAGTTTTGGCTCTTCTGACCTCCCAGATCTCCTTATTAAATATCTACTTGGCATTTCACTAGCATCAAAAACTTTTTAGACTAAAACAGAATTTTCAATCTGTCTTTCCAAATTTATTCTTTCTCAGTTTTCCTCACTCCATAAGTGAACACAGTTCAAGTCAGAAATCTTTAGTCATTCTTATCTAAAGTCTTCTCATTAACTTGCCACATTCAATCTAACACCTTGTTGCAGCAAAACACCTCCAAATCTACCTTGATCATCCCTCCCCCTTCCTTCCGCGACTCCATCCCAGTACCTAAGTCAAAGCTATCATTTGCTGTTGTCTGGGTCTTGTACAGACAGTCCCATATCTGAGAAAATCGGGCAGAGTGCCTATCAGATCCTGCCGTTCTGCTTTAAATCCTCTCGCGGACTTCCACCCACCTTCTTCTCAGAGCCCTCGGGCTCTAGGAGGCCAAAATGCTTGGTTCTTAGATCCTGCCAAGCTTTCTCCCTTCTGGGGAGCCTTGATGTGCCCTTCTACCTCTATGTTCTTCAACACACACAAATCCTCATGTTAACGATTTAACAAGCTGTGAACATTTGTTACAAAAAGGAAGTTTACACAATAAGAAAGTTAAACAGTCACTCAACCTACTGCACTTCCCTGTAGTAGCTGAACCTAAATCGCAAGGAAAAGGAGAGTAAGGCAGGTTTTCAAACAAAACACCACCAGGTATTTTAGGGAATCTGGCCACTCGAGTGTGGAAATTCCATCTTCATTTCTCCCTGCAAGCCCTAGACCAGGCAGTCAGGCCTCTCGTGCACAACTGCTCCGCCGCTCAGATCGTGGGACACTCACAGCGTGGAGTCATTTTTCCTGATAGTTGACCTCGACCTAGACGGTCCTTACCACGCCCAGAATGGAACGACCTCCAAGGTCAGGGGCAAGCCAACCTGGTTCTCAACTCCCTCAACTGCAAAGTGCACCGAAAACACTGTCGCTAGCGCCCCGCAAGGTTTCTCCTTAACGCAAACAGTCCTCTCAGGTTGGGTTTCTATCAGATCCCCTCCGGAGCCGGAAGGCTGAACGAACGTCACCCAACCACTCCCGACGAGCGCGGAAGCGGAGGCCTGGACAGCAGACCCCGAGGGCCCGGAGAGGAACAAGCCGCGCTCACCTCGGAGCAGGGCCATGGCGGAGGCTCAGTTAAGGAAGCGTCGATCTCAGCTCTCGTCTCTGCAGAAGGCCGCCCACCGACCCCCGGACCTTAAAGGAGTGGGCGGTGCCCCGCGAGGCCACGCCCCTGCCCTTTCACCTACTTCCCGTGGGCCCCCAGCCCCGCCCGGGCTTATCTGACCGCGACCCGTCGCCTGCCCTAGGACCTAAGGTACAGTCTCCCGAGGAGACGAAACGCGTCTCGTGACTGGGCTTTTTCCTCACACCACAGTTGTCACAGACGTTTTCTGGTCCCAAATCGAGAGACTCTGACTTGACACCCCCTCATTCGTGCTATCTCTGAACGCTACATCCCACAGGTAACTAGCCTGTGAAAATGGCAGAAAACAAGAACAGACGCTATGAACATTGAAACAAAGGCAGGGCCTTGAACTAGCGGGCACTGGCGGGGGCGGGACCGGAAACTCGGTGGGCGTGGCGGGTACCTGGTTGGGACGAGAGGAATGGCGTGGGGAGGTGCTGCAGATGTAGTAGGGTAGGGCGCTCCCGGGTCCTGGATACAGCCCCTAGATGAGCCCGCAGTATTTTCCTTATATGATCAGGCGTCATTGTGAGTCTGAGAGGATTATGAAAACGTGGCAGGCGAAGTGGGGCTGGGGACCGGGCGCAGGGGGATGAGGGGCGAAGGACAGCAGGTGAGGTTAGACAAGGGAGGTTTAGGGAGGCCGCTGTAACTGTGAGCCCTGGCCGATGATGACGTGACCACTGCGCAATCTGAGTTCTGGGAACCACCTGATGGAGCGTGTTCTGAGAACCGACTGAGGCCGGTGAGCAGGGCGGCGGCCTGGGCAGAGAGAATAGAGTTCCACAGTGCCTGGCTCGAGAGGGTCTGCGCTTGGTTCTAGCGTGTGGCACGCGTGGTTGGTGGCGTTTTGTTTGTCCCCAGTTCTAGAACCCTACTTCTTTGATCAAACGTTTTGGCAGCCTTCTCACTGTGGGTTCTTTAATTCGACTTTTCATTGTGAGCTTTTTAAAATTGTTAACAGACATAGTAAAGTGGAAAGTTGTGCAGTGAACACTATCCACCACCTATGTTCTAGAGTTAACATTTGCCATATTTGCTCTTTCTACTTATTCTTCCATCAGTTTTTTTTATGCAGACTTTAGTAAACTTCAGCCCACAAACACTTAAACATGCACGAGTTGAATATTTATAGTTCTAAGACAGAAGTTCCCATGTAGTCAAATGTGCCAATCTTAAATTGGATAAGTTTCACAGTTGGCTGGACTCTTGTTTGCACTCCTTTATTAGATTTGCCCTCCACGTATGAGTATCACAATTTTCCACTTCAATATCCTGCAAGTCACCATTAGTCTTTGCAATTTTACTAATTTTCTATAATTAGGAATGTCACCTATAAGTGGGTCCTAAAACTACCAAGTGAAAAGTTTAAATGTAGTGAAACATGTAAATATACGTAAGGATTTTTCAGTCACACAGTGTCGATGGGGAAATGGAGAAAGCATATGGGCATTATCCTAACCAACTGATCACGCTTAACACCAATAATGGGACAAGTTGATATCTATGCACCTCTTTGCTGTAGTAAAGACAGAACTTCACTTATAATTTCTCCCAAAAATGCCTGACCTAAACATAGGAAGTAGAATAAATTCAAATTGAGGGGCATTTTGCAAAACAACTGACTTGAGCTCTTCAAAAACATCATTGTTGTGAAAAACAACAAAGTTGGGGTATGGTTTTAAACGCTAAAGATATGAAAACTAAAAGTAATGTGGGATCCTTGATTAGAATGTGGAGTGAAAAAAAACAACAACAAACAAACTAGAGGGTTTTGGTACGGTTGGGGAAAGTTAAATTCTATTTACTTATTTTGCCAGAGGGCCTGTATGATGGGCAGATAGTGAGAGAGGAAGAGGCACTTTTTAATGGGGTTAGTCATGCTGCCATTCATTCTCCTCCCTTTCTTCATCTTGCCAAGGTTTGGGGCATACACACACATGTATTCAGTTTATTTTTTAGGCTGCCAAGTCTGGGATTCAAACTGTGTAGTCAGCCATGTAAGGATCCAGCTCCCTTAACCACTAGGCCATGGGGCTGGCCCCTTAAATATAATTCATATGTAATAGAGACATAAATTCTCCTGCTTACAATAATTATATAGGAACTGCATAACTACAGTTCTTGGGAGATACACATTGATATATTTAGCAGTGAGGACTCATAATGTGTACAACTAACAAATGATTTAGAAAAAACACTGGCAGAGAAAGAGAAAGCAAATGTAGCAAAATATCCATTGGATAATCTAAATAAAGAGTATATGTTATATTTTTAAATTTTTTTCTGTAGGTTTTAACTTTTTCCAAATTGGAGAGAAAGGTGTCCTTCAGATAAACTAAAAATAAGTGGAAACAAATAATTTTTTTTTTTTTTTAGAGAGGTTTTTGCTACAGGGCGTGTGTGCTCGCCACACAGACAGACAAACAGAGACAGAGAGAAAGCGAAAAATCACCCCCCGAGGGGGGATGGCCATGCCGCAATCCCTTCTCCTCCATTCTCCTCTTGGGATCCTGGGCACGCACGCACACATGCCCGGCGTGAGTTTCAAGCCATTGGGTCCAGGACGCGAACCGCGGTCGACTACATGGGAGTCCAGTGACATAGCCATTACGCTAACTGCTGGTCCCGGAAACAAATAATTTTTAAAAATATTGAGTCCCTTTCATGCTTACATAATTAAGTAGGTATATATTCTACAACACTGTGTGTATCAAAGTTTTAATTTTTTATTTAAACATGGGACTTTTCATGAGATGTTATTTATGTACTTATTTTGGGGAAAAAGGAGTAGTGTTAATGTTAGAGTGGCAATCAGTGAATCTATTATGAATATGTAAATTCTAGGGTTAAGATTTTATGAGCATCCAGTCTCAGACCTCTCTCATATTTTTGGGGTAATTTTTCTATGCTTAAATAAAATTTTTCCTACCTTCCTATAACACTCAGACTTGATAGCTTAAGCAGAAATAGCTTTAGAAGTTTAAGTAATGGAAAACAGGAAAAGTCAGTGAAGTTTGTAGAGGCTACGATGATTTTTTAAATTGAGTACCTGGGTCAGAATAAGATAACTGAATTTCTAATCTTGAGTACTTTGTTATGTGCTCACTATTAATATCACTTTGTTAATAATTTTAATTTTTGTTAATTAAAAGGGAAATATGGGCCAGCCAGGTGGCAGGGAGGTTAAGGTGGCAGGATCCCCCACTGTGCAGAAAAACACACTGGGCAGGTATTCATGTGTGCCCAAAATCCTGAGAGGAGAAGAAGGGTTTGCAATATGCTCATTCCACGTAGGGGTGCTTTCTCACCTTCTCTCCCTGTCTGTCTCTCTCAGTGAGCACACACATGCTACACCAAAACTTAAAAAAGAGAGAGAGAGAGAGAACTATTCACTCAAGTGCAGTTTTGACCTTGAGCAAATACTTACACTTCAGAAATTCAGGTTGCCAAACAAGAATTTCAGTGGTGTGAAATGAAATGTAGACAGAATGTAATACAAGACACTGATTTGCTGGACACCCTCATTTTAAGTGTTGGTGTGTTCCCAGAAGTCTTAGGCCATCTTGTCCAGCTTTGATGAAAGATAAATATCTGTGTTCTTCTACTTTTGTTTGAAAGTTGTTTGCAGTGTTTATCTTTGGCAAGCCTTATTGAAATTTCCTTTAGTAATAACCTTAGGCAAATCTTGATACTGCCTTGGGCCCAAGCTTACTCCACTAAATACTAATATTAGTATGAAGGAGACAATACCGTATTGAAGTCCTTCAATCAGACACCTCCAGAAAATCACCAATAGTTCATAAGATAGTTGAACAAGTTGGGTTTAATGCTCATTGCAAGAAGGGAGATTGGATGTTGCGAGCACACCTTAGAGGACTGTGTAGGGGATCTCAGAAAGATGGTGTTAGGATTTGGGCTGTAATTAGGTGATTTGGGGAGGGTCTGGAAGTAAGGACGAGGTCTGTAACTGGATATCTTTCTTTTTTTTTCTTTTTTTTTTTCTTAAGAGAGGTTTTTGCCATGGGGCACATGTACTTGCTGGAGACACAGAGAGCAAGTAAGAAGTCACCCCCTGGGGGGATGGCCATGCCACAGTCCCTTCTCTTCCATTCTCTTCTCAGGATTTTAGGCACACATGCACACATGCCTGATGTGAGTTTCAAGCTGCCAGGTTCGGGACTTGAACTGCAGTTGGCTATGTAGTGAAGCAGAAGCACCTCCCTCTTTGAATGTTGTTATACTTGCTTCCTCCTTTTGCCCAGTGTAAAGAGAGTAATGAACAGTCTTAACTCTTTGCTAACTAGCCCGAAACCTTCTTGTTTCAGATGCTCCTTAGCAATGCAATCACCAGTCACCAGACCCCTGCCCAGAGTCATGGGGACCATTAAACAAAGGTCCGGAAATTTCTCCTAGAAATTGTTAACCTGTTTGATCTGGCATCTGTAACTGCTTTCATATAGAAACCCCACACCTTTTCCTCTCCATCCCCTCATTTTCCATTGTAATTGCCATGTCAACCCAGGAAAGATCGTGATTTTTGCCTTTAGAAGCACCCCTTTCCTTTCACTCTAGGCTGCGGGGTCTTGGAGAGACATGAGTCCTCCTGCAGTCACCAGCCTATTAAAAAATTCCTATAATTTGGCTCTGACTGGATGTCCTCTTATTACTCACTGACCAGACTACAGCAGTGGGGGTCCAGCACCCCAACCACTACACTATCTGCTGCTCCCGTGACAGGGTCTCTTAATGTGAGGTGGCTTCAGGAAGTTCACAGAAAATACATTATGAAAAAGCTATGCATGGAATTTAAGTTTTTTTGCACCAAAATAAACTAATGACTGGCTCCATAACACAGCCTTTAAGCACTGTGAATAGGGACTCAAATCCCACATGACCGACTGACTGCAGTTCAAGTACCAGCCCTGGCAACTTGAAAAACACGTCAGGTACGTGTACATGTACGTGCATGATCTGACAGGTTGAGGAAATAAGGGAAAAGGATTATGGCATGACCATGCCCTACTGGGGACTGTTCTCTTTTACTCACACTCTGGCAAGCACACAGAGCCAGTCTGGCAAAAACAAAAAACCCTCTCATTCAATTCCACTTTTCCACGAACTTTTTGAAGTTTCCTCATATACTCTTATCAAGAAAGAGGACAGATTAGAGCTAGACTAATGCCCTCACTATAGAGAACCCACATCCTGGAGAGAGTATATTTGATATTGTATGGTTGACATAGCAATCTTGTGTATACCTGGACAAAATAAGACATCGTCTTGCTTTGTCTCACACTGTCACAGTGAGAACAAGCTTGTCTGATGCCAGTGTTTTGTAAGGTTAAGTGCAAGAGAAAACGTGGCCTTGCAGGGAGCACCAGGCCAGCTCCTACTTACCACTTTGGCCTAGCTCCAAATGTTACACCAGTTCCTGGATGACAGGTCGCTTTTCTTTCTCAGCTATTACTGGGTAAGTGTATCTTGATGCCATTTGGCTTTTTGGACATAGTTTTCCAGTTGCAGCTTTGAAGATAGGCCTAGACCTCTCTGAGTGAGGTGAAGGCTTCCCCAAAGTGAGAGTA